TCAGACTTCTTTTCGCAAAACTGGTGTTAGAAGTCGGGGGTGGATGTTGGGGATGGGGACCTAGCACTTATGGCTGAACAGTTAATAAGACATTTTGACTTTAACAATGTTAGCTACGAGCTTACAAAACGATAACATGCAGGTCAAATGTAATCACAAGTGGTGGATTAGATCCTGGACCACAGTGGCAATATATTTGCCACTGCCTACATTCTGTGACAAGCTGACATAATCCCTCAGCAAACTGAACCGCATGCTATCCACCTATGACAACCTAATGTTGGTAAATTAAGCAGTATTTTTTAATTAAAGATACATTTTATTTGTAACTCTAATTTTACCTTCATTTAACTTACCAGAGAGGGTGATCGGTGAATGCATCTGTACCTCTCTGAGCCCTCACATTTCACAAGGATTATCTACTCTTCATTTTCCTATTATTATTCATATTATTCATATTATTATTATTATTATTATTATTATTATTATTATTTGTTGATTGTACAAATATGATCCGTTAGACTTGTTGTCTTTTGGTCTTGAGATTTCAATGCTGCCGAGTGTGTGTGTGTGGAGAGAGAGAGAGAGAGAGAGAGAGAGAGAGAGAGAGAGAGATAGAGAGAGAGAGAGATAGAGAGAGAGAGAGAGAGAGCAGGGATGTAGATACGGTCTAATGTATCGCAGTGTATCACAAATGAAACCAGTCTTATCGTGCCAGGACTATCCACAAATGCTCTTCAAATAACAAGTTCATCACCATTCGCAGCATTTGCCTGCCATGTTTGTATGCAGATTGCAACCAACTTTAATTGCAGACCACTCTTGAATGCGCATACACAGAGCTGACATTCTAGGGTAGTCCATTGAAACTAATCATCGAGTTTTTGGAAAAACCTGGGCCCACGCTAATCTTTCTTCTTTAGTTCCTTTCCATCCCCAACTCTCTCTCTCTCTCTCTCTCTCTCTCTCTCTCTCTCTCTCTCTCTCTCTCTCTCTCTCTCTCTCTCTCTCTCTCTCTCTCTCTCTCTGCTAGTCTGGCACCACAAACTAGAAAAACAAGAAAAGAACACTTCCTGTGTTTACGTCTGCCAACCCTAAGGGGTCCATTTTGTTTAAGCCCACTGTTACATGTAACATTCCTGTCTATCAGCGGTAGCTACAACTGTATGGTAGCTTCCCCCCCCCCCTCCCTTTCTCATTTGTGTTGCATTTTGCAAGATTTGCACGCGCGCGCACACACACGCAAACACATACACGCGTGTGCAATTGTGCGTTCATTTTACTTGGTTTGAATCAAGTGCCGACATTACAGGCTCCTGGATATTCTAATATATGCTCCGTTCTCATCTTCAGCAGCCAGCGGGGAGTCCCATTTCCAATGGGTCAAGTAGAAGTGTGATTTTACAGTACAACCCTTTGTCAATGGATTACTTGATGTGACTATAACAAATGAGCAAACTTATGGTGATAGTCAACATTCGGTACCACTCCTTTTGTACTGTTACTACACCTCCTTGACCAATTGATATAAAAGAGTTCATTATCAAATCAAAGGTAATTGCAAAATCAAATTAAATCCTGGACAATTTTTTAAATCAAGGTTTAATCAATCTTTTTGAAGAATCAATCATTTGCTGTGTCTTATTCCATTCGGAAACTTAAGTGAAAACAGCACTCTCGACGCTGGCTACACCCTGCAGGATACCCGGACATTTGTTCCACGGCATATGACTTCACTGAATTATCAGATGCCTGATATGCTCTTCTTTTAGAGTCTCTGCAACGCATATTTCATTGTCACTTTGTTCTTCAACCTCAACTGCTGCACTCTTATGCCGGCCAACTGCTCCGTCAGTATTGCTTGTAAAATTATGTCTCGGTTTGATTCATTGCGATTCGCAACCTGATTATCCAAAAACATTTTAAATATATTCCGTCGAATTCTGCCTTTGATGATGGACTGTCCAATAGGACTAAACGTCATGGTTTTGGTGTGACAAGTCTAACTTTCCTGAAACACCTCTGTAATGTCTGACTGAACTTTACTCTAGGCAGGACATCAAGGGGACGGCACCCAGAGCGTTGCAGAACTGACTGGAGTCGCTAAATGCTGAAGGGTATACCGAGGACTGAATCCTATTGCTTAGGGTGTAAAATGGTTCAATGTGCAAGCTGTAACTAATAATCTTCTGATTTCTTATTTGACAATTTTTTTTTCTGGACATAACGATCTGTTTATGTTTGTTCGTATGTGCGAAAGTCTGCATGGATAATGTGTATGCTTGAAGAAACATATTAAGGCATGCCTACAAGGTTGTATATATGTTTATATTTTCAAGTATGTATGTGTGTGTGTAATGTTTTGATTATACACACACACACACACATATATATATATATACATACCTGTTCACGTTTCCTGAATCATCTTCACACTTTTTCAGTCTGATCTGTGTAGTATAGAACAAGCGACACTGGCGCTGGTAAAATTGGAGGCAAGACGATGTGACATCCCACGACGTAAAAGAGTGAGAAAGTATGAAGCAAAGGTTAGCCAGTGTGTAGATGGACCAGGAAACGTGAACTGCACCATATATATATATATATATATATATATATATATATATATATATATATATATATATATATATATATATATATATACTAGCTGTACCCGGCCACGCGTTGCTGTGGCATAGTTTGGCTAAATGGAAATAAAAGAAAACAGAAAACGCACGTGTCTAATACAATCATTGTCTGCTCAGATATAGAGATAGTCTTTGATCCCCGCCCACCACCACAACTAAATCCACCTACTACTATCTCCCTCATCAAAGGTTTTTAGAAAAAGAAAGACAATGGAAATCGCACGTGTCTAATACAGTTAATGTCGCAATCATTCTCTGCACGGATATAGCGATAGTCTGGTTTTCCAACTTTAAAACACGCACCTTATAATTGTGTTTTTATATTAGTGGTCGTTTAAATGGTGTTATTAGCACAGTAACAAAAATGGTTATTTGGTTATTACATGCTAAAGCTGTTTGTATTTTTATAGGAGACGGAAGTAAAGCTACAACTGTACTTGTGAATAACAAATTAAGTAGTAAAAAATAGAAAAGCGGAGGTAGCGTTAGTAAAATATAAACAAATTAGGCAATGAGAACTTGAAAATCAAGTGTAAAGCTCTTTAATTTCTCTTAAATTTAAGTCATTACCCCCTCCCCTCTTCCACCGACTACTGCTCTCTCCCTCTTCGAAGGATTTGAAAATCACTAACTGGCGATATTTTGTTGTTGCTGTAACTGACATTGACATCCCTGTCCATCTGGACTAAAATAGGGAGCAGGAATTGTAAAAGGTAGTGAATAGGGCTAATGTAATATTTACCACATCATCCTTCAAGTACCAGTACAACTACTAAAATAATGTCACTGCTATCTGTGTTACCATCGGAGTAGACAGAGAGTCGTGAGCCAGAAGATTTGGTTCGGCATGGCTAGTGCTGTCGCCACAGACTGGTCAGGTTAGGATGTATAATTTCATTTGCCGACAGAAGAACGCCATAACCTTACCGGCGGTCTTCACATGAGAGCACTATGGTGTAACAGCCCTGGTGTAACAACTATTACTGCTGCTGATACTTTAAGTGGGTAAAGCAGTTACTGTGACTTAAAGCTCTCTCATTTAATAGTTTGCCCCCCCCCCTCCACCCAAATTCACCGACAACTCTTTCCCTCATTGAAGTAGTTGGGAGAAAAAAAAAAAACACTTGAAAAGCAAACCAACACAGGAAAAAAACACCATAATTAGGAAATGAACGCCATTGTAAACAGCACAGCTTAAAATTCCAACACAGATGAAATAACTAAATCTAAATGAAAAAAAAATGAAAAAATTTAACGACTGCGGATTCGAACCCAGGCCTGCCGCACATGAACCCAGTGTTCTAACCATTCGACCAAGCAGCCACTTAATAGGAACAACGAAAAGAGAACTCAACTATTAGACATGTGAGTCCATACTACTGTGTCGCGATTAAAACACAATTCAAAACCGCAGGCAATTGTTTTCTCGTAGACAGATACTCCAGATATATTAATGAAATAGAAATCGTACGTGTCTAACACGGTTAATGAAGTTAATGTCGCAGTCACTGCGAGATACTCCTTCATCCCCCCCCCCCCCCCAATCGAAGGTTGTTTAAAAAAAAACAGAAAATAGTAATCGTGTTTAATATGGTTATTGTGGCAAATATAGAGATAGTCTTGTTTGCTGTACCACGACCTACTCTATGTATTAGTATTAGAGAAGGCGTTGGCTGCACGTAACTCGCCGGCGAATGGTAAATACGGCGCATGCGCAATTACTAACGTGGCTATAATTAGAAATCACTAAAGTTATAAATATTAGTTGCGTATATTTTGGCATTAATTGTGGTCACCTATCTCTAACAGTGACAGGTTGAATTTCAAAACCACGACGGTTCAAAATCCGGTATCACAACAAAACATATCCTGAAAATTTCAGCTAAATCGGTTCAGTAGTTTCCGAGTCTATAGGGGTGAAACAAAACACACAAAACATTGATTTATATATATATATATATATATATATATATATATATATATATATATATATATATATATATATATATATATATATATATATAGGCAGGTAGGTTGGTATATTTATGAATAAATGTGGGCATTAAAATTAAACACATGATTGTGCATTGCATGACCAAAAGGAAGTAATTAATAATGTGAGCTCATAAACCAATTTCTGTGTCTGTGTTTGTGTGTGTGTGTGTGTGTGTGTGTGTGTGTGTGTGTGTGTGTGTGTGTGTGTGTGTGTGTGTGTGTGTGTGTGTGTGTAACTGAACTTATGTGAAACCAATAAAAATGTTTAAAATTCTGAGTGGCCCTAAAAAGGACCTTGAAAAATAACAGACAGGCTTTGATTCGAATCTGTTAAGCCGTCTTTACGACATACCTGCACTAACACCTCCCCCTGCGTCCTCTCCTCCTCTTGCAACCTCTCCTACGCCTCCTTCTCTTTTTACTTTTCTTCCCTTTTGATCGTCGCCGCCTTTTATGGTGATGAAAAAATGCATCATTATCCAATCGATTGCGACGTTTTTTGCTTCCGCCGTCGTCATTGTCATTGCAAAGGAAGTATCTACGTTTTCTGTCCCTTCTGATTTTTCCTTCGCCAACACCTTTCTTAAGAACTTTTTTGATTCGTGAACTGAGCGCCGTCGACGTAACATGAGAGGGAAACTTGTTGACAAAATATCTTTTCAGATTCGTCAAAGTCGTCCCATTTAAATCTCGCAGATTAACGAGAGCCTCAACAACTGCATCTAGTGTAATTCGGTTGGCATTGTCAAGTGCGTGCTGATCTGAAGCAGACATAGACGCCATGGTTGCGGGTTTTGCCACAAGGACCCCACTATGGGACCGTATAAACGTTGAGTTATCAGTATTTGCGGACCTGCAGGCAAGTTAAAAAATACCACCAGGTGTCATTGTTCGTCTTGGAATGTACCTGTTGAAACATTCTCAAATATAGGCAAGTGCAATAATAATGGTTTTACATTCCATGAGTGCAGTGTCTCATGATAACTAGTCATCATACGATTACATGTGTGTTGAGGACACACACACACACACACACACACACACACACACACACACACACACTGTTCTTTCTTGATTCACATTGTCATTGATTTTATGTTACTTTCATTCAATGTTTCTATTGAGACATTCTCAAAATATTCATAACAGTATGGTCTGTTTTACCTTCATCTGTATTGTCTTTATTTTACATTTATAGCTGCTTGTATGCCTTGTGTGTGTGTGTGTGTGTGTGTGTGTGTGTGTGTGTGTGTGTGTGTATTTTTGTTGTTGCTTGTCTTGTTGTTTCGTGATAGTGTATGTCCTTTGAGAACATACCCCTTCACCCCCCCCCCCCACCAAAACAAAATCCTTTGGAAGGGCTTATGTCTCACATTCCACCCGTTACATTTACTGCCTTCCTCTATACAAGTCCTGTAATGATAGTCAAGTCTTCTACGTCAGATGCCATCTCTCGTACAGACTCAAAATGACAATCAGTCAGACAGAACCAGTTCTGGAATCTAGGCTTGCAACAATGGACGCGCCCAGAAAGCTAACAATATTTCTGAGGCGAATCAAATAAGAAATCTAAGGGATTTACTCTCCGGGATCAATCTCCGCATTAGCTTCCCGAAAGTTAAACACATTTCAGTGTGTTAGCTGTATGTAATACAGATTCACATTAACCACACGTGACAAGATTGCCAAAGTTATCTTCACGCTTGTGATTTCAAAAACATGATAGTTCATTAAATTTCAATGGTATCATCAATATTTAGGGTTTACAACATTGAAACACATGTGCACGAAAAAACATTCATGACACTATCAAATAGGAAATAAAGCAATGTGACAGTGCCCTACGAGAATGGAAAAATGTCTGCCTAGGAGTATTACAAAGTGATGAAGACACACACTTGAGTAAAAAGACAGTTAGATCTCTATCATAAATAAAATAAAGGTTTTGAAACTAATTTCGTTCTTACCTGGAAAATGAAACCACAATGCCAAAAGTTCTGTCTCAAGCTTAGGTTAAGCCCAACAGATGGCATGTGCTGGACAGAGTCTCAATTACCAGACCTAGAGTTCACCCCTTTATAACTTTTTCTAAGCTCCTCCTACATTACCCCTAAAATCATTCTCATTCAAGGATGTCACAGCTCTTCCCCGTGGGTGTATATTCACTGTCAGTCAGTGACTGTACAACAATTGTTTGAATTCCCACGGTCACATTCTCCTGGTCAATCCGTCTGACCAGAGCAAATGGGCCAAGTCACACCTCCAGCCTACTTCACCTGTAAAGTTGTTTGCTAACCACTCCACTCGACCATGTCAATAGTGACCGTCTGACTTGCCTTCAAGTTAGGTAACCTCAGGGGGAATTAAACACAATTAGCCGGAGTTATCTGCTCCTAATGGTCTGGCTAGGAGATAAATATCTGACACCAACAGATGGTGTGCAAATCTGCAGACAGTAAGTCTAAGCTTGGTCAGTCTTATCTCTGTACCTCAACACTTAACGTCTGGGAAAAGTTTTAGTGTTTGACATCACCAACAGTCCAGGAGAATTAAATGTTTGTTCTGGTCGCCTTACTTAGATTAAGGATGTATCCAAAACCGTATTATTTCTGTATACTTTAAAATACATAGAAAAAAAAGTCCGTTGAGGAAAGACATTCTGAAGTCACCGAGCGTATCGTCACACACATAAGTACGTGTCTGCAATAAATTGTGTATACATGTTGTGGTGCATTTATACATGCAAGCATCTTTCTTCTGCGTTATGTCCTCCACAGGAGATTAGACTATCAGCCGAATCTCCCAGTGTGATATATCCTTTCCCATTGCCTACAGGTCACTGTGTGTCCTCCCCATCTTTTCGCCTCATTTTCTAATCCCACTATTCCCAGGTACAAAGTATACGATGAAAACTACTGGTCTTACTTAAGCATACTCGTAGGTCCGCAAAAACATGATAAATTACCGGCAATGAGTAAATGAGCCGGGGTCATTGTGACAAAACCCGCAACCATGGCGTCTGAGTCTGGTTCAAATCAGCACACTCTTGAGAGTGCAAACCGCATAACGGTAGATGCAGTTCTTGAGGCTCTCGTAAATCTGCGAGATTCCAATGGAACAACTTTGACGAATCTGAGAAGATATTTTATCAATAAGCTTCCATCCCATGTCACGTCTAGTGAAGTCAGTTCACAGATCAAGAAAGTACTGAAAAAGGGCGAGTGCGAAGGAAAAATAAAAAAGCACAGCAATCGTAGGTACTTCCCTTGCAATGACGATGAAAACGGTGGAAGCAAGAGAAAACGTCGCAGGTCGATGCTGGATGATGATGCTCAGTTACATCATCGTCGTAGGAGACGACGAAGGCGTCGATCTAGACGACGTTCTGGGAGAAGGAGGAGCAGGAGGAGAAGAAGGAGGAGAAGTAGGAGGAGGAGAAGTAGAAGGAGGAGAAGTAGGAGGAGGAGGAGAAGGAGGAGGAGGAGAGGATGCAAAAAAGGGGGAAGAAGGAGAAGGAGGAGAAGTGGGCGACGCTGTGGACGTCGCAGACGGGGCAGGCGATCTAAGAGCTAGGATCGCCGTGTCGCCATGAGATAGCAGATTCTAGTCAAAGTTTTTTTTTTTTTTTTTCAAGGTCCTTTTAAGGGCCACCAAAAAGATTAACCTTTTTTGGTTTTATACAAATTCAATTTCTGTTTAAATGTTTGTCGGCTTATATTTCAAAATCCTTCATTGCAGTGTATTTCACGCTGTTTTTATTACCTTCAAATCTATCTATCTATCTATCTATCTATCTATCTATCTATCTATCTATCTATCTATCTATCTATCTATCTATCTATCTATCTATCTATCTATCTATCTATCTATCTATCTATCTATCTATCTATCTATCTATCTATCTATCTATCTATCTATCTATCTATCTATCTATCTATCTATCTATCTATCTATCTATCTATCTATCTATCTATCTATCTATCTATCTATCTATCTATCTATCTATCTATCTATCTATCTATCTATCTATCTATCTATCTATCTATCTATCTATCTATCTATCTATCTATCTATCTATCTATCTATCTATCTATCTATCTATCTATCTATATCTATCTATCTATCTATCTATCTATCTATCTATCTATCTATCTATCTATCTATCTATCTATCTATCTATCTATCTATCTATCTATCTATCTATCTATCTACATGTCTATCTGTCTGTCTGTCTGTCTGTTTTTAAATGCTGAAGGCGTTTTTAAGGATAAGTACATACATTTAAGTATCTTGGCACATTGATAACATCCGATGGAATATGAATCTCAGAGATAAAGAATCGAATAGGCCAGACCAAAACTGCATTTTACAAAATGAAAAACATTTTGTGCAATAAATTCATGCCATTGGAGGTTAGGAAAAGAATTGCAAACTTTCAAAAAGACGGAATTCTCTCATGTTAAATAGAGCCATTTATTACATACGACTGTGAAGCCTGGACACTTAATCAACAAGCCGAACATTATCGTGAGACCTCGGAAATGTGGTTTTGCCAAAGAATCTCTAGAATTCCCTGGGCAGCTAAAAAGTGTGACATAGATGTTTTGAAATAGGCAAATGCTCAAAGACAACTTATCACAACGATAGAGAGAGTCAGCCTATTTTTTTTTTTGTTTTTTGTTGTTGTTGATATTGTTATGAGAAGAAGGAAAATAGAATATGTTGTGACCATTGAAAAGTTCAGTGGAAAGAGAAACAGAGGAAGACAGCGTGAGAAGATTTTTAACAGTTTGTTGTTGTTGTCATGGCGTGGTGGGGTGTCAGCGCAGGAACTAATACAGGCAGATGCAGATCGCACATTGTGGATAGGCATGATCGCCCACTCCAGTAGGCAAGGCATTTGATGTTGATTTCTGTAGAATACGTGTAACTGGCCTCATCATGTTACTGACCATTACAAACGCAGAGGTCTGGGCATTTATGTGTCTGCAACCAAGAGGGGATCACATCTGGTGATCAATATGAAACCTGCAGCAACAAAGGCAGGCCAAAGATGCCGTGTGGGCAAGAATTTTGGTAAATCACGATGCCCTGTAAGGGTTAGAGCATTAGAAAACAGGAATTCACAACATGAGATATAGTGCGATTGAGTATGTCACGCTAATCTAATAATTGTATCAATATGTCTGTGGTCGATGGGTCATCAGTATCACACTGACCGCTTTACTGTCCAGACACTTTCCTATTGTACATTTTAATCTAAGTTGACCTGAGAGCCTGTGTTAGTCATGTAATAATTACCCCCGAGGGAAGAATTAAAAAACGTGATCATAATGGCTGTGAGGAAGCTTGCGTGGGACTGACGATATTTGAATGTTTTCTAACATAAGTCTCTCTTACAAGCAACAGTTTTCTGATGCGACGAGCTATTAGTCAAATCTTAGCCACACGAGTGGCTTATAAGAACTGATCTGTGATAAAATTGACAGTAAAGTGTATCGCCCTTAGAAATGGAGGGCTGTGGTTTTGGACTGGTTTGTGCAAAGCGATAAGATGTGTACTTGACACTAAACAGTCGGTTCATTTCCTTCTTCATGAAGGTTTGAAAGCTCTTTTCGTGAGACCACTGCAGTCGTCACTTTGTCAACCAAACGCCATCTACTCCCGCCCTTGTTGCTGTTGTCTGTTATCGTACCTCTCGTGGGCTGCATGTTTATGTCCCTGAATTTCTCTTTTCTCCTTTCCATTCGCCTTTCTCTGTTTCTCTCTGTCGCTCTCTCTCTCTCTCTCTCTCTCTCTCTCTCTCTCTCTCTCTCTCTCTCTCTCTCTCTCTCTCTCTCTGATATTTAAAACGCCATAGAAGGATTGCTTCACCATAAGCGGGCATGATTTAAGACACGTTGTATAACTGACAGTGGTTCTGATTGAGGCAAACAAGTGGTGAGGAAGTTTAGCAACGTTGTGCCCAGGAATAGTAATAATTATGTGGAAAGTATAAGTTGAACTACCTCATCCCTGAAATAATTTAAGATGGCTGCTGAAGCTACGGAGTACCTTCTAGACCAATACGAGCCGCCATGTCAACATAAAGTCACTTCAGAGTCTCTATTATTACTAGGTAAACCCTAATTAATACAGACACGTTACACTATAGTCTCGTGACAGGATAGCTAACAGTGTTGCCACTTTGGATCTTTTATATCCAAATTTAAATCATTTTCATTGCATTTAGATACTGTTTTTGACGTTTAGATCGTAAATATTTTTCTAGAATCTTTTCATATGGAGTTAAATATTTTATAGATTTTTTTTTCTTTCATTGTCAATTTAATAATTACTGTGCAAAATATTTACTACAATATTTTTGTTTTGGTCTGGCACGTACATTGTGACAACTGCCATTACTTGAACTTTGAACACTCACTGGGATCAACGCACAAATATCTGGCAGCCCCGGTACTGATTAATAAAAACGCGCGTAAATCATACTAACTTTGTTTCAACCGTATCCTCACTGTGCTGACTTTTCGTTTCTCTTTCATGTGATTTAAAAAAAATAATTGCTCACCTTTGTGACAATACGCTCGGTGACTCCAGAATGTCTTTCCTCAACCTACTTTTATTTCTTTGTATTTTGAAAGTATACAGGAAAATAGGGATTTGGATACATCCTTAATCTAAATAGGATGACCACATCACACCTTTAATTCTCCTGGACCGTTGGTCATATCAAACACTACAACTTTTCCCCAGATGTTAAGTGTTAAGGTACAGAGATAAGACTGACCAAGCAGACTTACTGACTGGAGATTTGCACACCATTTGTTGGTGTCAGATAGTTATTCCCCCTGCCAGATCTTCAGGAACAGATAACAAGGGCTAATTGCCATTATCTCCCCCTGAGGTTACCTAACTCGAAGGCAGGTCCGACGGTCACTATTGACACAGTGAGCGGAAAGCGTTGGCAGAAGAATTGACAAAGTCGGATTTTATTGTGATGGCAGGTGAAGTAGACTGGAGGTGTAACTTGGCCTATTAGCTTTGACCAGCTTAATTGAACTTGTAGAATGTGAGCGTGGGAATTCAAACAATAGTTGTACAGCCCTGACTGACAGCGAATAAACTTACCCACAAGGGAGGAGCTGTGATATCCGTGAATGAGAATGATTTTAGGCGTAATGTAGGAGGAGCTTGATAAAAGTTATAAAGGGGTGAACTATAGGTCTGGTAAAGGAGATCCTGTCTAGCACATGCCATCTGTTGGGCTTAACCTAAGCTTGAGACATAACTTTTGGCATCGTGGTTTCATTTTTCCAGTTCCCACATTGGGCAGGGACTAGTAGGCATCCATTATTTGCCGACCGTCGAGTGTAACGACCTGCAGAAAGCAGTGAGGACGACAAACTGGAAAAGATAGGCAGGGTCTCAAGCCGAGAACTGTCCAAAGGTTGTTACTTTCCAATACCTTTATGATTTCATCATTCACATAACCTAAACTCTACTAGCCTAAACAAGTTCATTTTATTTTAGTCAGATTTATTAAATAAATCTTTTTGATGTTTAAACATAGTTGAGTAAATTGTGTACTTAGGTTCAAGTGTCTTTGTGCATATTAGTTTACTTCAGCTAACAAATACTTAAATCACTTGATAGGGGCTTTTTTTGCAATGCCAGGAGAGGAGACCAGTCGCAGGGGTTAACTGAGCACCTGGATTATATCACAGTGGGTGTATCCAGATATCTATCTATCCCTTCTCCTTCTCCTGTGGATACAAGTACAGCAACTTTCATTTCATGGAACGAGCCACTCGCTGTTTTCTTGGCTATTCAGGACTGTCTAGGATCAACATAGCTTAGATAATAGTCCAGTTTCTCACGTGGGTGGGCATTGTTAAGGTTCAAACCCACACCCTCACTATATCAGTGTATTTACCCACATGGGCGCGCGACAATTGGGTGCTCGTCCGGGATTTATAACATCATGTAACCGTTGTGTCGCTCTCTAGAATTAAAACCTGACACAAGTGGCGTCCCGCCAGCGATCAAACCCGGCAGATCCTAGACTAACAAAAAAGAAGTTTAATTTCATAGATTTCATTTTAACTCTTCATCCAGTTCTTAGACTAAAATCATACTTAGTAATTGGTAACTGGGAAGATTAAAATTATAATAACTGTAAAAGTATTTAATTGATAAAATCATATGAGATAACTGTCTATCATTGAACATTTCATGAACATTGATTAATGTTTAATCTATAGTGCTTAGTTAGAGTTGATGAATTGATGATTTTTTTTGCTTGCATATTTCATTTGATATAGATTGTAGTACATATTACATGCTGACATCATATCATTGAGATTAATAATTAGTGACTGAGTGTAACATCGCTTTGATCATTTATAGGTTTATCCTTTTGCTGCTATAGTATTCTATGGGCTGTTAATCTGGTAGGCTGCTTTGCATCATATACATCTTTGTGCGGCTGTCATAGTCTCCTCTGGTGCCAAGTTCACTGTACTTTGCTCTGACATATCCTTCTTATCCTACCTCGGGGAAGTATTACATTTATC